TGGTTTGGCTTCCCCAGACTGGCTTCAGGAGATCCACTGACGCTAATGGAAACACCTCTCTTCAAGGCTGCCTCCCTTCTGTCTTGTAAGTAAATAAAATGCACACAGAGACTCGGTGCTTTCAATCTTGGTTGTGGAGGAAGAGAGTGTGAGAAGTGGAAACCAGGCGTAGCTATTCTGAAAGCTAGAATTTGGGCTGCAGCTCCTGCAGCTTTGCCTTTGATGTGTGCGTGTGCTTACATGTGCTTAATACTTTAAGCTGTTCCATGTGTATATGTTTGTGTATTGTGTATAAACGTGTATACAAACATACCCAGAAGTGGATGTATTTATACACCGACATATATACACACACAGTGATACCCCAAGTAAGCCACCAGTATCAACCTTAAAGCGTCTTTAGAAAATTAACCCACGGCATAAGCAATAATATGTGAACTATAAACATTCTGGCATGTTGGCAGATAACCATACTGCACATGCCCCTCCAAGAACTGAGAAGAAAGGCAATAACACAATAGCAGAAAAATGCACTAATCAAATCCGTAGTCAACTGTGAAGATGGAGCAAGGATTCTAATCAAAACGCAATGGGGCAAAGTTGCAACAGGTTGTAGCCTTGCACTCTCTTCCCAGGGGCCTCACCCAAGCTTTCTTTTTAAACATCCACAGACACTCACAGAGGATTGCAGTCACTTCTAATTACTTTTTTTAAAGGAAAAATTTGCAAGCTGAACACTAGCTCCTCCAAACAGGAAATATCAAAGGATTACATCTATAATTTTCTCCCCTGCAACTGCTTCTTAAAAATAGGCTAAGCGCTCTCCTCAAATAGCTCAGGAGTGTGCCTTATCTGAAGGCTGGCCAGAGGAGGGTTCTGAACTATCACAGAGCGCTTCTCCACAACAGTTCTTTGCACAGGGTCAGAACTGACACACCCAGCACAGAGCAAATGCTAGAAATGGTGGCTGTTAGGGAGGAAGGCCCAGGTACCTTGGCACTGGGAGGGGGATTCGGGAGAAATGTGTAGCTGCAGAGCACAGTTTCCTCTGCCGGAAGCTGAGAAATGGCTGCAGGTTTGTGGGCGCCTCCGAGGTAGGGGCTGGAAGGGTTGGCAGGGGGCTGCCCCTAACCGCTGTTTGCTGGCTAAGTTAGGTCTTTTCACACATGACGGAGATGGAGAACAGGCTTGGGGGCGAATGGAAAGAAGCCACTGGCTAAGGAGAGCTGCTGGCTAAGAAAATGAGGTGTGAGAATCCTCTCCTGTCCTCTGTTACTATTATGTCCAGCATTCTGAACTCTAAGCCTAGAAGGATCATCACCATGGCTTCCTAAGGGGCTCTAAGGAACCAGGTCCTTACTGGACAGCACCTCTCACCTCCTCATCAGCAGCCTGTCTGTCCAGAATTCCCCTCCATCCACTAGGAAGCCAGCACATCCAATCCTCCAACTGCGAAGCCTTTGGTCTTTCTCTTCATCATCTCTGAATAGAAGATCTCGGCTCAGGGCCAATCACTTGTTGCATAAAGTGACACCCAGTTCCGGGGGCGCACCAAGAAGGACCCTGCTCATCATCTTCCCCTCCTCCACCAGCCACTCCTGTCCATCTCTGAAGCCCCGCCTCCTCCAAGAGGCCCTTCCCTTCCTTCCAGCACCTTGGGTCTTCAGCCCCAAGGACATTGCCCTCCCTGTGTTGTTCCCCCCGCTGGGCACATCCTAAATTATGCCTCCTCCCAACTGGACTGTGACATCCCCAGGCCAGGTCTTATTTGTCCTGCAGATCAGCTGCAGCATTATGGAGGGAGGCAGCTATGCAGAACAGGCAGCTCACAGATTTGGGAGCTGACTGCACTGGGCTTCCTGCTCTGCCACATGGGGCGGCCTGGAGAAAGAAGGCTCGCCTTACCCACTGCACTCAGTAATTACAGCTGTGTTCCTATACATCAAGGCCCACAGGTTATCGGGCAGTCTCCGTGCTATCTCTCCACAGCATCATGGCTAAGGGGGTGGAGTCCAGGGCCAGACTGTCCAGGCTCTAATTCTACTAATGCTACCTCTGCTGCTCACAAGGTTACTATACCAGTCTGCCTCCATTTCCTCGTGGGTAAAATGGGGATAATCACACTTCTCATTGGATTGTTCTGAGAACAAGTTATTTTTGGTAAAGCACTTAGAATAATTCCTGGCATGTAGCAAGTGCTATGCAAGGATCTGCCATTATTGTTGTTGTGTGGTTATTATTGTAGACAATGGGTGTGTCACACCTGGACTTCATGTTCCCATGAAGATGAATGAGATCCTGTGCAAAGAGCCTGGCACCTCAGGCTCTCGGCGGGTAGTTGTTCCTCTCCCTTGTGTCCCCACTGTGCCTGAATTGGATGAGGCATGAACCACAGGCTCTGTAAGTCCCTGTGAAACAGACCGATACCTTCTCATGGACTTGAGAGAATAATCCATGTCTTTTCTCACTTAGAGGCTACGAAATCTAACTTCAACATGCTCTATCTCTTTGGTTAGCGATATAAATAGCTAATTGGATTATAGGTTCTTTATTTGCCTCACACTGCACTAAACACATTTTATTTGTAATGTTCACAATTATTCTTGTGGTTGTTTGTACCCATTTTTAAAGATGGGAACACTGAGGCCCAGGGAAGTTAATGGACCGGGTCACCCAGTCAGTTATAGAAGAGACACAGGGCCCATCTGATACCTACAAGACTTTAAAACCTGTGGCTATGGCCAATGCACAGCCCAGCCTCCTGCCAAAACGTCCCTGGGTAAAGGCGGAGGCCCTAAGATCTTACTTGCCATTGAAATGACCATTTCCTGAATGTCCTCTAATAACAAACATTAGGTTCACCAGAGAGCACGTCGGTCGGACACTGCCCTAAAGCCCTAAAGCCCTAAAGCCATAGTAATCAAGGGGCTTCCCCAGAGGGCAAATGAATACCATATCAATGGAGAGCAAGGACACCATCAGGAGAAGGCAAAAGGCTTTTTACCAAAGTCACTTTGATGTCAGAGCAAGGCTTGGAGAACAAGGATCTGCCACCTGTCACAGAGAAGAGACCCCAGCAACCCTGGGCCCAGACAGGGACAGGGCAAGTGAGAAAACCCAGGAGAGACCACTGGAGAACAGCCAGCTTCCTCAGCAGTGGTCAGGGCAGTGGTCAGGGCACAGGGCCCGCCAAGGGCCGGAGAGGGGCAGAAGGAAGGCTGGGGAGCTTGGGCCAGTGGTGAAGGGCAGCAAGGTCTCCCGGACCCAGGAGTGGGCCCCTCAGGGAGAAGCTAGAGAACATTTTTCAGGGTACAGGGTGATGAATCACCTTTCCGGAGCCTGCCCACTGCCAGTCCTCCGACAATGTTAAATGAAGGGCCAGATGGGCAAAAGCTGAACAGCAGTCGGGCCCTGAACAATCCCAGCATCTCCCCTCCTTCCCTCATTCCTCAGGTCCTCCTCATCAGCCTCGAGGCTGTGTGTCACACTCCGACTCACTGTTCTGGCCCCTGCATACCTCCCACTACATTTCGTTAGCCCCAGTCCACAGGCCTAGGGGAAACCCTCCCAGAGGACACCATGGTGCCCACCCCCATTTCAGAACGCCCTGGACAAAACCTGTGATTAACCACAGAAAAGGAACAGAGCTCCCAGCCCTAGCAGAGACAGCCCGGGAGCACAGGAGGAAATCTTGCCTTCCTCCCACACACCATCGCTCAAAGCTGTCAGCTTCCAAAAATGTTTAGCAAGTGCAGCAGCAAGGGGCATGCTTATCAGCCGAGCAGGCGCGAGAGCTTAATCGGTTTGGAGGGCCTTCCTTCTCTGGCTGGCCCTGAGTTCCAAAAGTCTGCTTACAATTAGCTTCCAGCTCGGTCCCGCATTCGAAAGGCTAGGAATGTGTTGAGCACTGCCCCTGATCAGAGAAAGCTCCAGGAGAAGGTGGGGTCAGTGTCAGCAGAGAAGTGTGCGCCAAAAAGGTCAGCGGGTCTGCTGCCACCTCCCCACACCGGCCCCAAACCGCCCCTTCTCTGGCCTCCCGCCTCTCCTGACCCGTACAGTCACATCCGTCAGGTCCGCCTGTCCCCAAAAGTCCCTGCTGACCAGCTGCCAAGAAAATACAGCGTGCCCCCGCTCCCCCCTACCAGAAGAGGGGAGAAATGCAGCAGAGAGGGCAGGAGGCCAAGAGAACCTGATTGGCCCTTTCGGATTTCCTTAAAAGAGACTGCCTGGCCAGTGCCTGCCACCCAGCCGAATTGGGTGATGTGGGCTCTGTGGGGAAAGGTGGAAGTCACCACGTCTCTTCCAGCAGCTCTCCCACCCCGGCCCTGCTCCCCCCACGGCCCCCATCCACCCAGGCTAACACCAGGATCCACTACCCGGGAAGGAGGGGCTTAGCCTGGGCCGCCATTGCGCCCCCCGCCCACCCAGCGCTAGGGGTCTCCGGCCGCCCGCGGCCGCCGCACCTTGCCGGAATCCCGTTCCTCTAACCCCGGGTAGGGCCAGGCTATCTTTAGGCTAAGAGGAGAGCAGGTTCACTGCCACCACAGCCACCACAGCCCCCCTTCAGGATCCTCCCTGCAGGCCCGGAGGTGTCCGACCCAAAGAGCTGTCAAACCGCTCCTCGGCAAGGAGGGAACCTGTGCGGAACCCGCAGGGGACGCACGTACACACAGTCGCCGCCCAAGCCCTCCACATGCAGAAGCTGACGCTTTCCGGGGTGCACACGCTTTTCTGAGACCACCTGGGCCGTGCACCCCCGCCCATCCCGTGAGATGCTGCAGCGGAGCCGGACCCGGGTCTCCCCAGCTCTGCAGGCGGCCTGGGCGTCCGGGCCACACCCACTGCCAGGCCGCCCTCCTCGCGCGGCGCCGCGCCAACCCGCCAGCCCAGGGGAAGTGCTGGCCTCCCTACCCACATGGGGGCCCCTTCCCCATTTAGCAGTGCCCTCCCCCCGAAAAGAAATGTTCACCCAACAGTGCCCAGCGCAGGGCTGCTCTCACCTGGGTATCGAACCCGTTTTCCACTGAGCCGCTGTTCCGCAGCGGAAGAACCTCCCCCGCCGGGTCTTGCAGCCCCTGCGATTTCAGGGGGATCAGGCTCGGGTAGGCGGTCTTGCTCACCTCCACCTTGCTCCCCAGTTTAAGGTAGCAGGGTTGGGGGCCAGCCCGGGCCGGGGGCACGTGCAGGATGGGCGCGGCGCTGTGCACGGGTTTGGGCAGTCCCGACTTCATCTTGGAGGCTACCAGGATGGCCGGCATCTTCTCCCGGGGCTTCGGCTTTCCCAGCACGTCCCTGGCAGCGGCGGCGGGGGCGACCGCTAAAGGCAGCGCGGGCAGCAGAGCAGGCGCCGGGCCTCGGCCCGCGAGGCGCCCACCACCGGGGGAGGAAAAAGAGAGCCCCGGGACGGAGAGGTCGGAGCGACCGGGCGTGAGGGGAGGCGCGGGGCCGCGGGCACTGCGCTCGACGGGTCCCACCTGGAGGGAGGCTGGAACTGGTTCTCCGGGGCGGCCTGTTCAGGAGCTCTGGGCGTTCGGGGAGCGCTGCCTCTGGTAATTTTCCTCCTGGGGAGCCGAGGCTCGGACGCCCATAGTACTGTAACTTGTCACTGCATCTCTTAAGTGGGGGAGGCGGGCTTCGAACAGCCAGAGGCGCAGGGATGCGCGCGTGGCACTCCGGCAGCTGCGGTGCGAGCGGGCGAGGCCAGGAGCGCGCGAGGAGAGTCGGGGAGGGAGGGCGCAGGGAGCCGAGACGTCTTCTCGGAGAGGCGGCGGCCACCCTGCTAGCGAGCACCGCAGTGTCACCCGCGACTCAGCAGAGGCGCGGCGAGAGCCCCCGAGAGGTCTCTCTCGGCGTGACAGCCCGTCACGGCTGCCCGCGAGCTCCGCGGAGCACCGCAGCGTCTGCGGGTCTGCACATGCTCCGTGCGCTCTAGCGCTGCGAGGCGATGGCCGCGGGCTGGGCGGCGGGCTGGGCAGGGCTGCGCTCGCGAGCGGCCGCCGCGCTGCTTTCCGGGGAGGCTGAGAGGGCTGCGGGGCTCGGCGCGGGAGAGAGCGGGCTGCGGCCGGCGCGGTGGCTGCGGCGCGCGCTGACAGCGGGGACCGCCCCGTGTGAGCCCATTGGTGCGCAGCGCGCCAATCCGCGGCCGCGGCTTTCCCTGCAAAGGGGGTGTGGCCTCAACTCCGGGTCGCCGCGCAAACTCTGGGGCGCTGGGCGGCGGTACTGGGTGGGCGACCGCTGGCGGGCGCTCGGCCTCGGGGCTCTGTGCGCGCCCCCGGCGGGCCGACCTCCCCGCGGCCCCGCGCGGAAGCTGCCTTTTGAAAAATGCCTTTTCGAACGCGAACGCCCGCCTTGGGGCCCCGCGGGCACGGTTCCGGGGAAGTTGGTTTGCTTTTCAAATTCCTCGGGTCACCTTAACGGTCCGTCTTCCGGAGGCGCCGCGGCCCCCGGCTGCTCGGCGGGGCGGGTCCCCGACTCCCGCGTTTAAGGTCCCGCCAACCTCTCCCCCGCCTGCTCTTCCAGGCGGGCCGGGGGCTTCCCAGCAGCTTCCTTTCCAGTTTTCAAAGGTTGCACGTTTCACTTAACTATTTGAAGTATTCATAGGCAAATGCGATGCTCTGCAGCTTCCCGCCCCCAAACAGCTCCTCCTCGCAAGCAACCTACCACAGACTTGTAATTAGAGTGGCAGAGCAAGTCCGGAGAAGCTGCTTGACCCTGGCAGGCTCGGGCCAGACCTTTCAGCGTTTCGCAGCGGCTCCTCCCTGCCCAGGTCTCCGACGCACTGGCCCCACAGGTTCCTCGACTTTAATGCTCGGGGTTCCTCGCCTCTTCTCAGTTGCTCTTTTGGTTCCTCGCTGACTCGGAGTAAGGAGATGGAAGGGAGTAGAGATGACCCAGGCAGGCCAGAGCCCTCCCTTGGAGATACAGGGTGAGCAGCCCTCACCCTGTCGACCAGCCTGGGTTTGAATTGGCAGTTCTTTCGCCTTACATGCATTGTTCTACATGCATGTTTTCCTATGTAATAAAGTGCAGGTTTGACTGCATGACGGAATGCACTGTTGTCTGGACTAAGTGCATGACACCAGTACCTGGCAATGTGGAGGGGACCAATAAACATTGTATCCCTAGTACTGTGGCTATTCTCCCTGTCCGGTCATCTCCATATGGTTTTTGTCTCTCATCTCCCTCGCTGTTGTACAGGTTGCCATTATCTGCCCACCCAATAGTCCGATCTACAATGCTGATAGCTCTGATTTGTAATTGTACACATGTTATGAGCTGAATGTTGGTGTCCTCCTTGGATTCATATCTTAAAACCCTAACCCACCATGTGATGGTATTACGAGGTCATCAGTTCATGACTGTGGAACTCTCGTGTTGGGGTTAATGTCCACATTAGAAGAGACAAGATAGAGGATGGACATGATCTCGGTTTGCCTGTGAGGATGCAGCCAGAACCGCCTCTTGAACTAGGAAACCCTCACCAAGAACCTATGCTGCAGCCCGATCTCAGACTGCCAGCTTCCAGGCCTTCGAGAGATGAATGCTGTCGAAGCCATCTGGGCTCTGACAGTTTGGATATAGCCGCTTGAACTGACCAAGGTACCAGGCCAAAGGAAATCTCAAGTTTTAACCTCTGCAGTATTAAGAAATAAGAAAGGGCCTTCTTACTGTGTAGTCTCCTCCCCTTCCACCGTATTTTTCGTCTGTTCTATATGCATGAACTTTCTACTCTAGCCAGGCTGGAACACAGCCAACTGAAGTTCTCTGATGCTCTGAAATTGAATCACATGTGCTCAGTGACATTTTCTTAACGCTGCCCTTTGATATCTAATGTCACTGCCTATGCTATTGTCTTCCCTTGTTTAACTTGTTATTTATTGCTTCATGCTTTTATTCTTTTTTAAGGGAATTAACCCCTTGAAGTTAGGAACTATGTTTTAACTTTCATGAGATTCAGTATCAAACATAATGCTGTGGACTGAACAGCTACCCAAATTGTTATTGAATGAATGAACAAATGTTAGCAACAATTCTCAAGGAGCAAGAACATAAGGACATGATAAATGTTTAGCTATAATCAACCTTGAATTCTGATTCTGACAAGATACACTAGAATTCTGGTGCTCACAGACATATCAAGGGTTGTAGAAAGAAAGAAATTGTGACCTTCAACTTCTGAAAGCTTACAGAGATACTCCAAAGCATCCCCATGGCTCTGATGCAGTGATTCTCAAACTGCAGTCCCAGGAGCAGCCACAGCACCATGCCCTGGGAATTTGTTTGAGAAACCACACCCCACCCCTACTAAATCAAAAGCTCTCAGAGTGGGGCCCAACAATCTATGTTTTAACAGATGTTTAACTCAGTATTTTGGGGGGGGGGGTACTGGGGATTGCATCCAGGGCCTCACAAGCTAAACAAGCCCTGTACCATGGAACAATGTTCCCAACCTTCAGTGATTTTGATGCATACTAAAGTTTGAGAACGCCTGCCCTAAGGAATGTATTAGTCACTCTGTTCACTTTCAGGGCTTCTTAAGACTTAATATGCATAAGACTTACCAAGGATCTCACTAAAGCACAGGTTGATTCAGTAGCTCTAGCATAGGGCTATGATTCTGTTTTCCAAATGAGGTTCTGCTGATGCCCAGGCTGGCGGTCTACAGATCACACTGTGAGTAGTTAAACCACAGGCACTGCAAGGGCCATCTGTAATCAGGTGACTTTCGGTCACTCTGCTCTGAAAAGGATTCTGTATCTTTCTAGTTGGGAACAACCTGATAAATTGATAGCGTCTACCTTGGGTACAGAAATGGAGCTCGTGACATACATGTTACTCGTCTGCCACTTTTAAAATTTCCCATTTAAATCAGAATTGCCACCAAGGTCATTTTTTGAATTATGAGACCCACAGGTATGTACAAATATGAAAACCAGTGCATTCTTTTCTTTGCATTAAAAGTACTTATTTCTAACCTTCCACGATTTAGTGAACACATGAACATTCACCTTAACTCTGTGTGATTCATTCAAGTCATCTGATAATTTCTCATCTTTCCTGATTGAAGACATCTTTTATTTGGTTTCCAAATTTCTTCTCTGCCTCTTCATCCTGTTAAGAAATTTATGCACCCTTTCCTGGAACAATTTTCGTCTCCCTTTTATCTTTCCTATAAAATTTCATTTTTCTTATTTAAAACAAAATAGTGTATCATCCAAACCCAACAAGGGAAAATAACAAATTGTGGCCCAAATGAGATAATTACAAAATTTCTTCCTAAGTACAGGCATCTCATATTATAAATATGCCCTATAAAATGTACTCCTTCCACAGGATATTCTGTTAACATGAAAGAACTCCTTTTAAATGAGTATTTTTGGCAAGCCTCGGTAGCTAAGGAAGTCACTGGTTCAGAGAACAGCAAGCTGCTCTGCTATTCAGGTTTGTAAAAGTCTTTATTAATAATTTTAATTATATGCGCTATGGGCAAAGATGCAAAGTTCAAACAGCCCACCATTTAAAACTCAACTTTGACAAACCTTCTGTCTTTCACTTTTGACTCCAAACTTTCAAAATCACCCACATGTCAGCAATCGGGCAATTTGAAAGTGATTGCCAAAGCTCTCAGAGCCACTGAATGATCCAAAGAGGCCCAACAGTTCCCTGGTTGTAAGAGCCAGCCTCAGATCTGCAAGCACCAGCCTCAGCCCTCTCAAATCTTCCACACCAGACACTGGTGATTAGCTCTGTGTGAATGGGGCTTCGGGGCCGGCCTGCAAGCAACAAGCCCCATCAACCAAGCCTTCATCTGAGTTAAAGACTCCATCTGTCTGACCTCCCAAGCAGACAGTCCTGTGAAGAGCCAGAACACGGAAACCCAGCCTGTCAACAAAAAATGCAGGGATCTGGGGAAAAAGCCAACAGCCTCTTGGAGACCTTCGATCATAAATGATGAGGGGGAAATGTTGCAACTCTCTGGAATGATAGGAAAAGTGACTAAGGATCCCCTACTTGGAGATGCTGGGGTGCGAGGCATATGTGCCAATGTGTGTGTGTTCACAGGCACTTGAAGCAACAGCTCTATCAAATCTACACAGAGCAAACCCCTTGCTTAATCCATGACCCAATCATTAATTCAGTGAATGCATTGCTGAGCACCATCAATGTTTCAGGCTGAAAATGTTTGATGAAAAGCGGCCATAAAGCTGCTGTTTCTAGGTTTGAAGATTGCCCTTTCTCACCACTGAAAAACTGAGGCAGCGCAAAGTATATTATGATAAACCAGATCCATATGAAGGTCAGCGATTCATGGGGTTATCAGCTCTGTTGATTAACTTTCTGACTAACCAAAACACTGAAGA